CACTTAAGTCGCATATTTAATGACTTCAGACTCGACTTAGACTTGCATTTGAAGGACTTCAGACTCGTCCGAGACTCGCAATTTCGGACTTGTGAACAATATTTATTTTTTTAAGCGTTTTTTGTTTTACTAACTTGACTGATCGCCGCTCGCCTTACCCGCACACAGCAGAGGTAGAAAAAAAAAAGAAAAAAAACGGCAGAGGGGCTGTCAAACAGTCATGTAGCGCTGATGTAGCCGACGAGTTTAAGATAATGATCATTCCATAGATTTAATAGTGACCTTTAGGCTATACCGTCTCAGTGACGGAGATTAAAACATAAGGAGAAACAAGCAAGCATGCAAATAGACTTGAGACTTGACTTGCAAAAAATGACTTGTGAACATGTCTGGAAGAAGAAGAAGAAAAAACACAAGCAAAACATTTAAGACGTTGAATCATGAGTGCCATTGTTTTAATCATCTCACACCATCACAGGATAACATTTTAACCATTAAAGCCCAGATTGTGCTGGTGAGAAGGACTGACCAGAATTATATCTACTGCCACAGGTTTCTGCTCAAGCTAACTCAGTGTTTGTTTGTGGAAGTGTGCTGCTGGTAAAGCTTGTTGTTTCCCAGTAGATAAACATTTGTCCTTTGGACCTCGGTCTGGCAGTGAGCCGAGGCTGACTGAGTCGGACGAATCGCTCAGCTCTGTTGAGCCTGGATGGGGCCAGGAAAGTAGCTTCACTGCAAAAAACATCTAGAAATAAGTAAAAAATGTCTTAAATGAGGTGTATTCACCCTTAATTTTAGCAGGCAAATAAGATGATCTGCCAATGGAATGAGTATTTTTACTCCTAAAATGAGATAATTAGATAATATACACTTGAAATAAGACAAAGCAATTGTTTTTTCTTATTTTAAGTGTAAATTGTCTTGTTCCACTGGCAAAGTGTCTCATTTACCTCCTTAATTCAAGAAAAACTGCACTTAATTTGAGCAAAAATGACTTATTTAGATTTCCATTTAGTTCAGGTGATCATAAGTCAATTATTTTTTTTTTTTAGAAATAACGAAAAGCTGTTTGATTTATGTGATTTTTGTGTTGATCCTAGTAATCTTATTTTTTATTTCTTAAGCATTTTTGACAAAGAAAAAATATCCCATAGCGATTTGGTGTTGTTATCATCAGCCCACCTGAAGTGCGCTGCTTTAACACTAAGAATCTGGTTGCTGTGATTTTTTAAAGATGAGATAAGATCCAAGGAGCTAAAATGGAGAGATATCTTAAATCAAAGATAGTCTATGCTGTAATGATGGTTTTAGTCCCCTCCTGTAATAAATAGATAAATAAACACATTACACAGAAGAGGGAAGTTGCTGGTGTGAGGGATCTACTGGCTGCTTTATGTGATCTGAACAGATAGTCAGTTCATCTGTGTCATGCAACGCGGACAGAAGGACCCAGTATTCAAGGAGAGACAGTCAGTAGGAAAGTTCAAAAAAGGTTTAATTAAAATAAAACAAAAACTGAAGTGGAGCTCACGGACGCTGCAGGAGGGAGGCGGGGCACCACCCA